CCTCTTTTATCCCTTATTACTTAACTAGACCCCTCTCTAAGCTAACTAGAAAAAATGTAGGAAAAGACATATATACCAAGGTAAATAATTATAATTGTGCCATTTAGAATTATTATTTTTTGGAAAAAACAAAAATTATAAAAATTGACCAAAACCCTAATCTTTATTTGCCTTTTCTCATATCTACCTTTTTAATTTTTTTGCTTTTTTCTCTCTTTGTAAACATAAAATTAGAGAGGAAAGATATTAGAGAGAAGAGATAGCTTAACGCGATTCATCAACGGTGGTGCTATGGTAGTTACTCTCGTCAATGGAAAGTCTGTATGAAATTTACCTCAGTCGGGGCACAACGGTGAGGAGTAAGACGGTGATGATTGTTGGAGACAAGATTTCGAGGTCCAAACATACTATGGTGTGGGTTTTAACTCATTTGATTAACAGAGGAGATTTGATGACTCTTCTTCGGGTTGTCTCTCTTCATGATGAGCCTTCTCATGTTACAAAGGCTACTGTTCTCCGCAACATGGGTAAAGGTCTCAAATCTGTCTTCTTCTATTTCATCTTTTTTTTGGCTCAAATAGATCAGTATTGCAGGATTATGATTGGATCATATTGTGTTATTCTAGATTTGTTTCAGACTGTAGATTTTTGTACCAGCAGTTGCAAACTTATGATTGTATCATATTATGTTATGGTAGATTTTTTATAAACTGTAGATTTTTGTACGAGCTATTGCAGACTTATGATCGTATTATATTGTGTTATAGTAGATTTTCTTGTACATTGTGTTATATGCTATTGCAGACTTATGATTGTATCATATTGTGTTATGGTAGATTTTTTTGTAGACTGTAGATTTTTGTACCAGCTATTGTAGATTTATGGTTATGTCATATTGTATTATGGTAGATTTTCTTGTAGACTGTAGATTTTTGTACCAGCTATTACAAACTTATGATCGTGTCATATTGCGGCATGGTATATATTATTGTACACTGTAGGCTTTTGTATAAGCTATTACAGACTTATGTTCGTATCATATTGTGTTATAGTAGATTTTCTTGCACACTGAAGACTTTTGTATAAGCTATTGCAGACTTATGATTGTATCATATTGTGTTATAGTAGATTTAATGTAAACTGTAGACTTTTGTATCAGCTATTACAGATTTTATAATTTATATTGCAGGTTTTGAAGTGATGTCTTTCTTAGGTGATAAGGAGAGTCATTCAAAGACTGAAAAGAAGAGTAATTTGGAGAACATTAAGGAGACTAATAAGGAGAGTCATTCCGAGAGTGATAAGGAGGTGGAGTAATTGCAGATTTATGATCGTATCTTATTGTATTTTGGTAGATTTGTAACATATTGTAGACTTTTGTATCAACTATAGCATACTTATGATTGTATCGTATTGTGTTATTGTAGATTTGTTTGAGACTGTAGAAATTTGTATCAGCTATTGCAAACTTATGATTGTATCATATTATGTTATGGTAGATTTTTGTGTAGACTGTAAACTTTTGTATCAACTATTGCATACTTATAATTGTATCATATTCTGTTATAGTAGATTTTCTTGTAGGATGTAGACTTTTGTAGATGTTTCTTCTGCAACGCGATCTTCATTGTAGATTTATGTCTCGAGTTTTTTTTTTGTCTTCCTAGAGGGTGTCGAGTAATAGGAGACAATCATATCTTCACTTCACTTTTTTTAGTTCAAGTAATGTTTTATCTCTAAGGATGATAGATAGTGAGTATGCGTTACAACTTAGTCCACAACCCTCGAAAACTACAAAATTAATCTACGAGACAAATCGGCAAAATATGATAACAACCTCATAAACATGCGAATATATGTAAGACTACTATACACAATTCTTACCGTGTCAAATTAAATGTAACGTACATAATAAATCTACATCTTCTAAACAAAAATCTACGAAATAATCTGCAGCGTAAGATGACTACCTGGAAAATCTACACACTTTTAAGTCTAATATGCACGATTCATACTTTGTCAAAATATCTGCAATGTACTAGATAAATCTATACAATAAATCTACTACATCTTTTAAGAACTAAATACCTTACACATATCTACCGTCTTTTCTAATAAATCTACATCATATCTAATAAACTTGCAAACATATATAAGTCTACTGCAAACGATTTTTACTACCTCAAAATATATGCAACGTGCATAAAAAATCTACAGTTTATAAAAAAAATAACTAGGAAACAAAAATACACCGTGGGACGACTACCTCAAAAATCTGCAAACACTTTTAAGTCTACTATACGTGATCATTGCCTTATCAATATATTTACAACATAGAAAATAATCTACCAAATAAATCTACTACACCTCCACCAACTAAATCCTTACACAAATCTACCATCTTTCATGATAAATCTACATTCTACCTAATAAATGTACAAACATATGTAAGTTTAGAATGCATGATGCATACTGTGTCAAAATATATGTAACATACATAATAAATCTGCAACCACCCAACAAAAATCTGCAAAATTAATATATATCGTAGGAGGTTACCTAAAAAAACTGCAAACACTTTTAAATCTACTTCACACGATCTTTGCTTTGTTAATAAATTAGCATTGTATAAAATAAATCTACTATATCTCCACCAACTAAATACCTTAAAAAATCTATCATCTTTTCTGATAAATCTACATTCCACCTAATAAATCTGCAACCACTCTGCAAAATCAATATGGAAACACTTTTTTATCTCCTACACATGATCCTTACTTTGTCAATATATCTGCAATGTAGCAAATAAATCTACAAAATAAATCTACTACACCTCTACCAACTAAATCCCTTACACAAATCTACCGTCTTTCTTAATAAATCTATATTCCATCTAATAAATCTGCAAACATATGTAAGTCTACAAGGCACGATTCGTACAATGTCAACATATCTGCAACGTGCATAATAATTCTGCAGATTAATCTGTAAAACAAATTTAGATCGTAGGAGGTTTCCTCAAAAATCTACAAACACTTTTAAGTCTACTACACACGATCTTTGTTTTGTCAATATATCTGTAACTTAAAAAAAAAATTTACGAAATAAATCTACGACACACCAACCAAGTAAATACGTTACACAAATCTACTGTCCTCCATGATAAATCTACATTACACGTAGTAAACCTACAAACATATGTAAGTTCACAAGGCACAATTCGAACCGTGTCAAAATATCGTATATAATAAATCTTCAACCACCTATCAAATATCTGCAAAACAAATCTACATCGTAGGAGGTTCCTATAAAATTTGCAAATATTTTTAAGTTTACTAGATATGATTGTTACTTTGTCAATATATCTG